CAAGAAGGTTAGACGTAGAGTTTATAAAAGTATGAGAGGATCTAACACAGTTTTAAAAGTACGAAGGATTTGACACAATTTCAAATAACTACACGTAGATTTTGTATAATTTTACCAAGATTTTAACTAAAAATATATTTTTTCAATCCATCAAATATAGAGATATATATATATATACATACTATATTTTTTATATCTCTCTTTAAAAAATATATACTTTTTTGTTTTGTTATATTTGAAATAGAGTGTTAATTTGAGTTTGTTTAAATAATATTTTATTGAAAACTCTGTGAATATATTTAATTTTAATTTAAAATAATAAAAAAATGCTCTATTTATAATAAATAATTATTACATATTTTATAATTCATATAATTCAATATCAGAGCGAAATGATTATTTCAATTCAATTACTTTTTATTTTTTATTTCTCTTATTTACATTATATCCACTTCAATATTTAAGGATGTGTTTCCTAATGAATTTGAAAATATTTTGGTTTAAATTTAAAAAAATATATGCTGTTTTGTGAAGGTAAAAAAATATATATATATTTTTAAAAAATACATAATTCAAATAGTAAAAACTTAAAATTTTTTATAAAAGAAATAGACCCTAATTTATTTATTTATTTTAAATATTTGTACTAATCAACAATACATTTATTTCATTACCACTACTATTTTATGGATCTATAATAATTTATTTACTTTTGTTAGAGGCAACCAATTCTTTAGAAATATAATATATGCTCATAATTTAATATTTTGAATGAAAGTAATAAATACCATTTAGAAAAGAAAAGAATAAAAATAATGAAGAAGTCACGGTTAAAAATGATCTTATACTTATTTATAAATATATCACTACTATTTACATATTTAATTTATAAAAATAAAATAAAAATCCATTTATATGCTTTTTAAAAAATACATTTATTTTATAACACAATTACAATCAATAAATATAATACTCCTTCTATCTCAAATTTAGGTGATGCGATGAAGAGAAAAATGTATATTTTATATTTTTATTTGAGTGATGTTATGAAGAGAGAAATGTATATTCATTTCATCCCATAAGAAGGGTTTCATTTTTTATTTTCGTCATTCTCAAAACAAAAATATCATTTCTTATTTACAATCAATAAATATCATTCCAACTTACAATATATTACATAAATGTCACAACCTTTATATTATTACACAATACTAATAATGATATTTTCATTTTTTTAGCTACAATCTAATATAATACTAATATTAAAAAAATTTACGTGTAAAAATAAAATGTTACTCTTTATATAGAACGAAGGGAATATTTTATTTTTTTCATTTGGTTGATGATAAAATATAGGATAGAGATTAAATATAATTAATTATTTCTTATTTTAAAAATATTATAGAGTATTTGAGACATATCAAAAATAAAATATTGCATAATATTTAGAACAAATAAAGTATTATATTTATTAAAGTTGGTATCTAAAAAATATTCCATCCATCCGCACACAAAGTAAACATTTAGGTGTTTAAGAAATAATTGTATTTTAATTATAGTGGGCAGTTAAAAATAGTGTAATGATATTTTTGCCCGTAAAAGTAATAATGTGATGTAAAATAAGAATATTTGTAAAAAAAAAAATAAAATATTTAATAAAATATTTAAAATAGTAATTGAACGTTTCAAAATAAAAATACATATACTTTCTAAGTACAAGGAGTGAGGAAGTATAATTTAAAAATATTACTCCCCAAACTCAAATAAGCACGAATTCCAAATCCAAAGCTAAAAAGAATAACCTCATAAAGATGTAAACCCAAATCCTAAAAAAAAACAACAAAAACGGTAATATGCAAGTATTGGTCAGCGGAACCAACTCCATACGACGTCGTGTCAGCTGCTGCTTATATTCACTTCACTACCTACTTTCTCATTAATGACACACAGACAAAACACCCCACCCCACCCCTACTCCCTCCACCAATCGCCTCACAAATTTAAATCCACCATATTTATTACTACATTATTATTATTATTATTATTATTATTATTATATATTAATAAATAAATAAATCAAATCAAATATACAGACCTCAGCTTTCGATTCCATTTTGGACCACAAGTAATCTAGCATCCAATTTTCCCTTTCCCTCTCCATCACTCAATTCTCTGTGTGGCTCTAAACGCATCGCATTCTCTTCACATATGCTAGTACATTTAAATAAATAAGCAAATAAATAGGATTTTAATCAATTTTTTCATAAAAAATATTAAATCAAAGTATTTATTTTTTATTTTCTATATTATACAAAAAAAAATCACATCAATATTTACTTATATCACATCATACTACTATTCCGATTTAAAAATTCTACTGTTCAAATTCAAAACCAAACAAATATACCCTAAAGTAATAACCCTAAAGTAATAAGGGTATTATAGTCTTTACACAAAATACTACAAACTATTATTTAAATAATATTAATCTTTCACGAAAAAATCCCACCAAATATATATTTCTCTCTTACAAAACAATCACATCAAATATTCAACTTTAGACTATTTTCAAAAACTACAATAATCTCTATGATTGTGTTCCTTTGTAAAATTTTCCCACATTTTTACTATTCAAAATTTTTTTTTTCCTTCCAAAAAATCAAATTAAACAATGATTTTTTTATCTTTTATATTATTATATCAAAAACACAATTTTAGACATCAAAATCTATTTATATCACATCGAACAACTAGTCAAATTCAAATTTTTAATATTAAAAAAATCCAAACCCACAATCAAACACACCCACATCTAACATAGCCTAGTTATATATGACCTAGGGATGGCAATGACCCGACCCGAATACACATGGTTGGAACCGAGACCCAAACTGGACCCGATTATGCCCGGTCCTGACCATACCCGACCCGAATAATATCCGACAAGACCCGATGGACCCGACAAATCCTTTTTTTTTTTTCTAAAATTTAACTTAAAATTAGACGCAAACTTGGACCCGACATATATTAAATTTTTTAATATTTTATTCAAAAATATTATAATAAAATAATAATTATAAATAAATAAAACTAAAAACATATTTTTAATATAATTTATATTATTAAAAAATAATCTTTTTCATATATATAATTAATATATTAGTAATATATTAATTGGGTTCAAATCTGAGTCCGGATCTGGATAAGGTCCACCATTGGACCCAGACCCGATAAGGGTACATAATACTCGACTAAGACCCGGACCCGATCCCAAATAAATTGGTCGGATCCGAGTCAAGTCTATTTAGACCCATTGCCATCCCTCATCTATTCTATTCCAATATTCAGCTAATAGAACTAAAAATAGAATTCAATCAGAAAGAAACACTCGAATTAATTATATAACAGAAGTAAACTACTTAAAGAGTCAATAAAGTGATAAATTCAAATATTTATTTGGCGAAAAAACTAAACATGTGATTTGCAAAATTTGCTAAAAATTTTCTTCTGATCCTACAACTTCATTTTACCTAAGCGAGGTTAACATAACATTGCAAAAAATATGTCATTCATTAATACTTAACATATATTATAACAGCTGCGGTTAAACTGTCGAGTAAAATTACAAAATCATAAATAACATGAAAAGATATTTCTTCGTCAAGATAGGTATAGACATTCAGATTATCGATGTTATCTATGATTTTGTAATAATACTACAATCTCCATTGAATATTAACGGATAGGATATTTTTTGCACATTATCTTAACTACAAGTAGCTAAAGACAAAATCTTAAGACTTGAAGGCCATTTCAGCAAATTTTGCAATGTGTTCTTTTGTAGAATTTTACCCAAATCTTACTATTCATCAAATACTTTTTACCCGACAACATCAAATTAAAAATCTATTTTTTATTTTTTATATTATTCTAAAAATTATTTTTACATTCAAAACATCACATTATTTTATTATATGATAATGAATAGACCTCAATCCTCAACACCAACCCAAGATCGAACTAGTAGAATACAAAATTCAATCTCAACACAAATTCAAATAATTCCAATTCATATATACCCCACCGACTAGCATAAATATGAAAGACAACTACCAATTAAATGAAATCGATGTTCACTAAATTTATCGATATTTTTAATTTACATGATTCCCAATAAAATATTATCCGCAACATAAAATATAGTATAATATATACACACAACAATAAAAATCAACAAAAAAACACACAAAAACATCATTCCTCCTACTCAAGACATGAACACTTAAAACCACAATTTATTTGAGCTTTTCTTTTCCTTCTTTTTTAATCTTTTTCACTATACAATTTCTAATTTTTTCTCCATAAATTGTAAACATTTCATCCTATACCCATTTTTCATATAAAATATCGAATTCAATAATTATTTACTCGGAAAACATCAAAACTCAAAACCTTAAATAACACTACCAAAAGAACACACCCCTAGTTTTTTTTCTTTCAAGAATATCACATCCAACCATTATTTTCATTCAAAATATCAAATTAAAACAAAAAGCAAAAATAAAAAGCCAGAACACAATTCTAATATACATGTTTGTATAATGACAAGCAATTACTAAACAAATTTTACTCCCCCCCATCCAGAATCAATCTATCCATTTTATTATTTTGATCGGTCCAAAATCAACCTATCCACATAACTAAAAAAAAAAAAACCTTACATTTTACATATAATTACACAACAATATAATCAACTTACATATAAAAGTATACTAAAATTTTAAGGGTACTATTATCCATTCATCCATCTATTGTAATATATATATATAACACTAATATTTCAAAATCCACATGGATTACTATATATTGGACAGGCGGAGTATACCATCTAATTTAAACTAAGTCGTACATATTCCCATTCTCCGATGTAAATTTTAAACCAACCACGCCACTATAAGAGAGCAAACCAAAACCTAAATCACAACTATCGACACAAATTCTAAATTTCTCTACATAGATTTTAACCATCTTCAACGCATGCTACGAGCACAAATTTTAGAAGGTATCAAGTAACAAGGGAACTCAATAGGTCACGCCAACAACTACAGAACCACACAGGAAGGATTTTACATGCCACTTTAACAAGTATGTTCATCCAATAATACGAGACAGTTTCAGAAAAATGTACTAAGATAGCGTTGCAAGAGTACCTATATTGAAGTTTTACAGACCGAGTCCAACAGTTCTACCATCTCTCCGGCGCAGTCCAGCTGTGTACTGCTTCTCCAATTCCATCTGCAGTTGCTCCCGCTGCTTTTCCACATCAGGGTTGTCGGACTTGAGCTCTACCTTTGCGTCACCCTTCACACCCTACAATGGGCCATAGGTACCAATCCAACCTCAGACTCTAAAAGAGTGTCAGTAGTGGGAAGAAACTCGAATGAAAGAATGCAGCACATGATTTGAAAAAATGGGAGCTTAATGCACAAATGGGCCCGATGAAATTATGCAGGGTGGAGGATTACCATGAGTTTGTTGAACTTTTCTTGCCGTTCGCGGTCACCAAACGTTGTTGTATCCCAGCGATGAGCAGACTATATAAAGCAAATTATGAAACAATCCGAAAATGATAAAAAAATATGATCATAGAAACAAATAAACTACATTTTAATGATAGAGAGAGAAGGAAAAAGAAAAGGCCGACACATGGTTAAGCATGCCCTGTGAACAGTTACGAGAACTTTTTATTTACATACCTCATTGCATCTAAAACACGAAAAAGAAATTTTATTGCAACCAATAAATGGTGAGTGAAGGTTAAATATTAGATTAAGGGAGGAATCAAGTAAACAGAGGATAAAATACATGAAGGGTGCGTTTGTTTGGGGGGCTTGTCTTTTGCGTGTTTTGATGTGAATAGTAAAATTTTGAATTTGAATAGTTCTTTAATGCGATATAAATAGGAATTAATACTATGTTTTTAATATAATTTTTCTTTTTGGTGTAATATTAAAAATAAAAAAATTGATTTGATGTTTTTTAAGGGAAGATTTTTTTGTGAAAAGTATAAATAAAATCAAATTACCCAAACGAGCACACCCTTCATGATTAAATTGCTTAATTACCTCTTCTGTAGCCGCGGTCTTCTTGCTACCCCACAAAAGCTTCTTCTTTTGATCAGTAGACATGTACCCAGTTCCAACTAAATTCTTGTTAACTGATCTCACACAAAATTAAAAGCAAAATATATTAATCAATCAGTAACATGAAAAACAGATAAATACATAAGAGAAGATTAACATAGCAACAGATAATGTTGTGCATAGGATAGTTTTCCCACCATGATGTTAACATTATAAATCAGTGAAAACTGGAAAAACCTTCCTGCCCCAAGATTTTCCAACATCATCATTAATAATCGGAGAAAAAGTCAGCCATAATTATCTGAGAAATTGTAATAAAATCACAATGACTTCATAATAACAAAACTTGTATGTGGTACTGATTCAGAGCAAAATGTCTTCAATCTAAGTTATTAGCATGCCATAAGATGCCTGGTGAAATTTACGACTATATGATAATTTCCTGAAAGAAATTTTTGATTATGTGTCAGGTAAATATAAATTAACCTACCTAATTCAGCAGCTTTCATCGCAGCAATTCTTGCAGCATCAATATCAGAATCTGTGACAAAGGCCTGCTCTGAGGTACCTGTTTTAGAAATCCCAAATAATATCAGTATTGAATGTCTCAGAAACACGGCATGTTGTTAAAAGAGACGATAATATGTACCATCAGTAGCAGGACCCATGCTGTCTATGCTAGAAAACTTTGACTTCTTAGCAACAAAATCTTCATCTTTGATGGATGAAGCCACAGAATGCTCTTTCAGTTGTCTATTATCTTGATCATCATGTATGCCTTGATTACGGAACGTTTTCTTTTCATCATTCACACCCCCCTCACAATCCAATTCCTTGGAATCTCTCGTAAATGCTTCTTTCGAATGATTCCCAGAAGTGTCCCTTAGAGAAGAATTGTTTCGTCCACCCCGATCCCTTTTATGATCCCCTGAACTCTTTCTATGATCAGTCTTTCCATATCGGTCACCTCTATCGTCCCTATGCTTTTCTCTACCCTTGTCCCTATCATCAATGTTAGCATTCTTCTTACCAGATCCAGTTCTCTCATACGAGTCCTTATCTCTGCTTTTATGGCCTGAACCTTCAGATTTGGTCCGATAGTACGCATCTCCATCATTTGCATAATCTCTAGATCGATGCTCTAAGTCCCCCTTAGAGTAGTCTCGAGAATCCCGACCAGAACGATAAGATGACTTAGAATAACCCTGATCATGCCTATGATGGCTCCTAGATGATTGTCGATCTGAATGCCTATATGATTCACCACTGCGACCAGAACTCCTGCTACTATCCTTTTTGTGTTTATCATCTCCAATTTTGGAATCATCCTTCCTAGAGGAGAGTGGACTTCGACTGCGGTCACGACCGGGACTTCCTGGATACAGGTAAGGAAGCTATAGGAGTAAAAGAATTGTTAATTACAATCAAAATATAGGAAAACAATAGGAAGAAAATGATAAATCTGAGAACAAAACTTATTGAAACATACCACTGAAGATTTAAAGGGGGAAATAATTATCCATGTTATAAACATAATTTCAAAATGCTGATTAGATATAATTCTAACTAAGCTGTAAAGGATTCTAAAAAAGATGTTTCAGATAGTTGTCTAGAGTGATATCCAACACAAGCACATCAAACTATTAGCACTAACAGACTCTAGAACCCGATACCATTATAAACAAGAAAAATACCAAGATAAAAAATCAATCCAGTTCGAGTGAAGATTGGTTCTTTTTCATCCGGTACTGGGGTCACTCATTACGTAAAACTTTACCAAATCCAATAGTCCAGATCTAGAAAAAATAAAAAGCACTAATTTCCTATATTTCCCTTTTCTTTCTTCAGAATTATAAGTAGATACATACACAGATCAATAAATAAAGTCCATATACAGAAAAACTCACCAATAGTGAAAAAGTGAACAGAACCACTAAGAGCAATGTTCTCAACAAACAATGAAAGTAGCGGAACACAACCATTTTTCTCACAGATCCAGAGGCACAATCACCATAAGCATCATTTCTACCTTCCCACAATTTAGCTTAAAACTTAACAACTATGCATATCTAATAATAAGAAGAAGAATAAATACAAATGTTTTCTGAACTTACCATCTGACGAAGAAGATGAGCGACCAACAGAAGATCTGCGCCTGTACTTCCTATTAGAAGCATCAGTCGACGGCTTCCGAAATTCCGCCTTCGCGTCGGGGCTTTCTTGCGCATTCGTATCCATAATACCTAGTTGAAATCCCCAAGATTGAAATTTTTTTTTAATTCCTTCAAATTAAGAATCAGAAATCAGCAAAACCAGAACAATGATGCGCGAACACAACACAGTCACGCAGATGATCGAAGGCAACAGAACAAACCATAAACACAAAAAGACAGCGACAAACCCTAAGCAACGACCTCCACGACCGAAAAATTGCAGAAATAAACAAAAATAGAAAATTGCAAAACGAACCTGTTTTCCTACCCCTTCCCTTCCCTTCAATCTGAGCCTCCCTAGGGCTTAGGAATCGCTTTGGTCCGCGTCTCTGTGCTTCGAAATGAAGCTAGAAAGAGCAACAGTTCTTCCAATAGGAATGGAGAAGGGCAGGAGATATTTTACTCTTATATGGTTTTATTGTGGGCTTTCAAAAGATAAACACAGGCCCAAATACTAAGGGCGTGTTGTTTGTAGGATTTTATCAAAATTCTGTTATTTATCCAAAATTTTCTCCCCAAAAATATTAAATAATACTTATTTTTTATTTTTTATATTAGATTAAAAATCAATTTTACATTTAAAACATCACGTCAACACCTATTTATTTATATCACATCATACAACTATTCAAATTTAAAATTTTTACTATTCAAATTCCAACTCAAAATCCAAACCCCCAAACAAACACACCCTAAGTGTATTTAAGGCGTGTAAATTAGTTATGCCTTTTCTTCTTTTTCATTTTTTCTTTTTTAATGTGATGTTATTTGTGTATTATGGGTTTTTTAATTTTTTTTTTCAATAGTAAAAGATTAAATTGAACGTGATCTATCATATGTAAAATGTGTTGGATATAAAATTTTGAATGCAAAATGTGTTTTAGATATGGTTTTTGAATAGAAATATGAGATGTGGTTTTACTTTTCGTTTTTAAATATCAAATACTAGTAAATAAAGATAAAATATTTTAAATGCCAAATATATATCAAATTTAATAGCATATTATATATTGAAAAAGATGTTCATTTAATATTTTGGGACCATACTATTTCTCATAAATATTATTATAAAATATACATTTATCCAAAAATAAAAAGTAAACAAACTCAGTAAGAAATGACTTTGTATAACAAAGGATTCATAACCATGAAATTATAGATTCAAAATTCGACACCCGAGTCTTTACCTATTGGAAACAACAAAACTTTCTCATATGTAAAAAATGACAAACTTTTGTACTTTCTCTATTTTATTACTTTTGCATATCTTACTCTTGGTTGCTATTATATAACTTTATCTTTTTGTATAAAGTCTATAAATATCTCTTTAATTTTGTTATTTTTTAATAAAATATATTTTTTAAAAATTTTTGTATCACAAGCAAAAAAGTTAGTTTTTTTTTCTTGGATGACGCGAGAACGCGGTCACAAGTTCAACCCTTACACCACTGAGTCATCCCTTACGGGACAGCAAAAAAGCTAGTTTAACCTGATGGAAGGAGTATATATATATAGGTAGATTACAAAAGAAATTGTAAATTTTCAAAACATTTGAACTTAGATGATGGATGTAATTTTGAAACAACAGCTGGCTACTTTGTGGAAGAACCATTGCTGCAGTTTATGAGAAGTTACAGCAAATAAGCAAGCCTCTACTTGTTTTTTTTTCCTAGTTAGTTTGGTTTTCAGTAGGACAAGTTGTGGGATTTATGTAACGATTCCATAAAAAATCAGGTAAGTTGGCATCGAATAGAATAGATACAGAAACTTGAGTTAATCTAAAACCCGATTCCTCTAACAGTATAGAAGAAAACTATTTGGACCTTCTAGATAGAGATAGAGATAGAAATAGAAATACCTGAATTTTTTGTTGAAAAATTACCAGAGGTAAAGAGCATCTCTGTTGCCAGCTGAGTAAAGCTCTTATATGTCGAGTTGGTCGAGCTTCACCACATTGGCAGCCTTCTGGATCAGTTCTTTCCTTACATCAACCTAAAAAAAAAATAGCGCAGAACATTGATACAACGGTAATGCGACCCGAATCAGACCATTTACATCATAGTAATACTTGTTCAAAACCCGAATGTGTTTGATTGACTGAGGCGGAGATAATAATGTCTTATTCATAAATATCGAGTTTAGAATAGGATAAATTGTATAATGTCCCTTTTATTTTCATTATAAATGCACCTCTTGTGTTAAATTAAAATATACATAAAACATTCTCTCCGTTCAAGCTGATGGTGGTTGTAAACATGTGTCTATCTATAAAGAATTAATCAATTATTTATTTATTTGCTTTATTTAAAGAAGGCTGTGTATTTACATCCAACATCAACTTTGGACGGAGAATATTTTCTACTACCCGTCCAGCTCTAAGGGTCCTATTTACTTTTTGCGTATTGATATTTGAATATTAATTATTATATGAAAACGTAGTACAAATCAAAGCAAATTCACAAAAATATTTCTATTAGCGTCTTATAATACTATTATAATGACATTTGTACAAAAAATTATACAAATATAAAGATATTTTTTTATATTAAGTAAATGAAACCCTTAGAGCCGGACGGAGGGAGTATATACTTTTAATTTAACATAAAGAAATTTCACGCAATAAATGAAACACATAATATTTTGTACATTTATAATAAAACATATACGATTTACCCTTCATAAGCCATAGATTGTGACCATAGCAGTTCTAGTCTAATGTGCTTATAATTAGTTGATCATCTATATGCAGCAAGAACTTGGAAGAAAAGCCTTGACGATGAAGTTAAGGAAAACATATATATTCCCTCCGTCCACAAACTAATTTCTTATTTTTCTATTTTTCTATTTGGGACGTCCAACAACTATTCTATTTTTTCTCTTTTAAACACAAATTTTACTTTTTTACCCTTAATTCATTTACCACTTTTAATCTCTACCTTACTATAAAAGGTAAATTTGTCAATTCACAACAAAAAATAATTACGTAAAAACCCGTGCAAACATACTTTAAGACAATAGAAATTGGACGGAGGGAATAGTAAATAGGGTTGTAATCCACTTACCCGGGTTCCCATAAGAGAAGAAAAAACTACATTGGCTTCGGCAACATCCTCCACTCTTAACTGCTTCAAAAGTCTAGTCTCCGGATTCATTGTTGTTTCCCATAGCTGCGCCGGCATCATCTCCCCCAAACCTAGCCAATTTCATCGGTTCAATAACAAACAGGAATTCCACAAATATAGACTAATTATGTGTAAATGGATGTTTGATTTGGAGGTGTATAGGCAAGGGAGTTAATGTCCTATAAAAACCATGTAACATGAAAAGTTTCTCTAGTTTAGCATTTGCAGGTTTGGATCAAATCAAGTCGAAATAATGAACTCTGAGTTTGACTCATTAAAATTATCAAATGCCATTTTTTATGACAACTTAAAATCAATGGGTTTGAGTTAGTGTGACAAACTTAGAGCTGTCAAATAAGCTGAGCGAGCTCGAGTACTGGTTGTCGAACTCGACTCAAATTTATTAACGATACAAGCTAGATTCGACTCATTAAGAATTCGAATCAAAATAATGGTTCGAGCTCAGCTCGTTAGACTTAAATTCGAGCTCGGCTTGAATTTTATGCATATTATATATATTTTTCAATATATAAATTAAATATATTTAATTTTATTCATATTTTTCTATAATAAAATATTCAAAATTTAATAATAAATATAAAATCTGAAATAAAAAATGATATATATATAAATAATATAAATATATTATCACTAACTAACAAGCTCAATTGAGCTACTCACGAGGCGAGCTCGAGCTCGGCTCAATTATAAAAAAAATAAATTTCAAGCTCGAGATCGGCTCGCAAGCTACTCAATTCGTCGCGAACTCAATTCGTGTTTAACAGGAGACAAAATGCAGGTTGTCCTGTCATGTTGGGTTCGAGTAGATTATGTTTGTCTTCTTAGACATGAGTGTGAAACAACCGACCAACATGAGATCGACCCCCTAGAGTAAGGTGAGACAAGAACATGCTATAACAGGTGACAGTAAAAGTTTTTTCTATGTAAGGATTTCTATTGAACATATTCTTCAAAGGAACATTCCGTAACACAGGAAAAATCGAACAGGAATCAAATAACTTTGTTAAATGAGGCTTTACCTTTAAACCTCTGGATATTGTATGATGCATTTGCAGGGAAGGTTTTCCGAAGCTTTTTAAGTTCCGCATCATCGTAACAATAGTATGCTTGCTTCCCCCTTTCAACCTGAAATTTTGTAGATGTTTGATTTAAGCCTCCAGCAAAATTCTATCTAAATCATTAAAAGAAATAAATGTCATAAGAATTCAGGTACCGACAAACCTTATATAAAGGTGGAACACCAACATAAATGCACCCTTCGTCGAACAAAGCTCTCTGCAGAACATTAAGTTCTTATGGGAACTAAGTTTGTGACTATAATATAATCTGGTACTTAACGGTCCTAGGCTTCTCATTAAGGGTGTGTTTGTTCGAAAGATTTTGATAAATTTCTACTATTAATAAAAAAAATTTCTCAAAACATTTTTATTTTTTATATTATACTAAAAGTCAATTTTACATTCAAAATATCACATCAATACTTATTTATATCACATCATACAACTATTTAAATTCAAACATTTTTACTATTCAAATCCTCAAACAAACACCCTCAGAGACTATTCGATTTCATCGATGAGCAATTTCATATGCTAATATATTTTGTGGAGTTGGATGTGTTATGCAGCCGTAGTTTGAAGCCCCCCATTACATACCTGATACCTAAAGAAGAAGGTTAATAGTAATGTCCTTATGTGAGCACCATCGACATCAGCATCTGTTAATATTATGATTTTGTGATATCTAAGGGAGTCCTTTTGAAAATCCTCACCCTGCACAAGAAAGGCCCTCGATTCAGCCAAAAAATGCTAAAGCTGCCAAAGGAGATTAAATCCCGGAAACAGAATGAAAGAAAATAGAGAACCTTCACTCCCAGGCCCAAGCCAAGAATAAGGTTCTGAATCTCTTCATTTTTGTACATGGCGGCTTCATCTCGTCTTTCTATGTTCAGAATTTTACCCCTTAAAGGAAGTATAGCCTGTGACGTACAAATATATTATGCATCAATTTTCACTTTTACTTTTACAGTTCTGAGGGCATAAAAATATGCTAGGAGTTTAAGTTACAGATGAAGCAGAATAATAGATAGATATGTTCGGGTCGAACATAAGTTCAAGTTCAGTAGTTTCATGCAACATGTATAGAAACTAAACTATTATATGTGCAATGATCAACAAATATCATATTTGTGAAACTGGTTTTTATTCAGATGTACGCAATCTTGACCTATACCATTTTCCGAGAGTTCTCCACGTTGATTTTTCACTATAAAGAGAAATGTTATAACAACATTGCAGAGACAAGAACTAAATTCCGAAAGAAAGCTCATAGATTCTAAAATCTTTCCACATATTTTCTGATTTTCGGAGGATATTGAGAAAGTAGCGAAACATGAATAGAGTTGAAAAAGGATCACCTGAAATCTCCGATCACGACCTTGTTTAGCACTTCCACCAGCTGAATCACCCTCAACAATGAATATCTCTGAAAGTTTTTGGAAATTGAATATATTCTGGTCACTGTTGCTTAAATTATGAAGTATGGGCTAAACAACTTTAATAAGAAAAGTGATGTATAAAAGCCTGTCTAGAAGTTTAAACAAGAACTGATGTTATAGATCTGAATGCTATTGTTTCCATTAGAGGTTCAATTTATGGCATCACACACACACACACACACACACATATATAGATACATATAAATTGGTGTGTATATTTCCAGAGTAGATTATGGCCATTATCATAATCATCATCTTAAGTATTAGCCAGAAGATCAGCATAAAAAACATTATCCTTTTAGGCCAAAAGAAGGTTTGTGCACATTTGATTAGAACCACCCCTTTGAGGAAGGTGAGAAGAGATTAAATCGAGTGCCGATTTGCACAGGTGTCTTTGGTTAAATTCAACATAGTTAATCAAATTACCTTGTGTTGCTCATATGACAAGAATCTTGATCGAGCACAATGACAACATTGTGATCATACAGCAGATCTCATAAAGACAAATGATGATGATTGATGACGACATTATATGAAAAGAAATCATTGTACCAGATTCTTCAGGATTAGTAGCAGAACAGTCAGCAAGCTTCCCAGGAAGAGACGACGATTTCAAAACACTCTTCTGCCTCACCAATTCCCTAGCTCTCTTTGCAGCTAGAGCAGCCTAAAAATCAGAGATATATACAGATTGTAAGCATTATCTTCAAAAATAGCTAAAAAACAGATGTGTACAGTGAGGTGAACAAAGGTAAGATATTAAATAAGCAGCAGTTCCATGTAGAAGATACCTTAAGAGCATTAAGGGACTTGGAAAGGATCGCATCAAGGACATCCGGATGCAACTCCAGGTATTCAGTAAGATATTCTTGTATGATTTGATCAACAACCTTCCTCACCTCTGGATTTCCCAGTCTAGTCTTTAGGAATCGAAAGATAAAGATAACATCAATACAGCTTAACGGAGATATTGGATGAGATAATTGTGTTTCCTTTGTTACTATAAAATGCTTAAAGTATTAACAAGAGAGGGGTAAACCTTAGTTTGTCCTTCAAACTCGGGATTTGGAACTTTAACAGATACCACACAGGTCAGTCCCTCCCTGACATGCTCGCCACTTAAACTAACATCCTTGTCCTGGAAAAGTAAACCAACTCTTAGTTATCGACAAAAGTAAAAAGACTCAAGAGAAGACCAAGTAAGTTGAATATACCTTGACGATCTTCGACTTTTTCGCTAGGCTGTTGAGTGTTCTTGTTAATGAAGCTTTTACACCATCGATGTGCGTTCCGCCATCAATAGTCCTAATGCTGTTTGCATATCCTAACATTGTATCTGAATAAGCATCCGAACACCTGTATAAAGATTGGTGGAACAAACTCAAATTTTTGGTCTTTTCACATGGCTGATTTGTAAGATACATTTGTCAAATTACAATATAACTTTTAACCTCATTGAAACAAATGTATGAGTGCGTGCAAATTTACATAATAAGATAGAAAAGAATAGCTACCATTGAAGTGCTAGATCAATTGAGATTCCACCTGCTTCTTTCCTAAATCCCACAACATCATGAATAGGTTTCTGCACCAAAAACCACATCACTAATCACAAGAAAATGGTGATGCCGAGCATTAGACACTCCTTGGTTAAAACACTGAATAAACACGAGAAAATTATTTTACAGCTAAATTGTTTTTTTGCAACTGAAAGAAATATCAATTAGAGAAATTGGTATGCTGTAAATCAGCAATCAGTTCTATGAGCAGCACACTTTGTTAGGAAATATGACAGATCATTTTAACCGATTACAGGTTTTTATGCTCTAGACAACCCAAACCAACAAGATCAAATGTGTCATGCCATAACTAAAATAGCTATGATGTACTTCATTGCAGAAGTCCTGAGTTTAGCAAACTTATCATACATAAAAATCATCTATCCACCGAAACAATATATTTGTAAGGATATAAGCATAGCATCTTTTGATGTAGTATATAACAGGGAAAAGATGTATCATTGGTTGAATTTTCCTTTTTCACCGTCGATTTGTTCTTTTTCTATTTATTATAAATAGTAATACAATAAGAAGTGAATCAAGAAAATCACAGCAGAATATGATATTCAAACATTAAGCTCACCTTATCTGCATTAAGCCACTTCACGTATTCAATCAATCCACCGGCATATCGATATTCATTATGGAGTCTCTTCTCTGGGTTATCATCCTCCTTCTCAACATTAATAGCAACCTACACTTTAATATAATGTATAGTTATGTAAACGAAGTGCTTGAAAATAAAATTATGTTAGCATAATGACCTATATAGACTACAGGAAGCACATCCAGTCAATGAGTCAAGTACATTTGTGTCCATAATTACAACTTGGCTACAGACAGCATAAACAACTATTCAGCCACTATCAAAGAGCCCCAATGTGAAGTAGACTAATTTGCCTAAATCCAATCATTGACGAAAGAGTCATTGGATCGTATCAAACAACAAAACTTAGGGGTGCGCATTCGGTCGGTTTGGTTCAAACCAAACCGAACTTTCAATTTTGATCGGTTTTCGATTTAAAAAATTGAAACCGAAACCGAACCAAAATTTTTCAAAACCAAATAAACCGAACCAAACTAGTTCGGTTCCGTTCGGTTTAAAACCGAATAAACCGAACTTTTATTTATTACTCCCTCCGTCCCTATTTTCTATTTTCGTCCGTCCCATATAATTTGTCATTTCTTTTTTTGAAAAATTAATTATACACTTTAATCATATTTTAAAATTTAAAATTTAAAATTTAATTTTTTTTTAATCTTAATTAAACTATTTAGTCATCTTAATCTTAATCTATAATTATTTTTATAAATAATAATTATTTTTACTAATATATTTATTAATTACTTACTAATTATACTTTACCTAAATTCTCGTGTCTACAGTAATACACCCTATTGCATGGGACGGAGGAAGTAATATATATTTTTAATATACAATCAAATATAAATACACAAAATTATAATATATACTCCCTCCGTCCCAGAACTATAGTTTGGGTTGAGTTTGGCACGGGATTTAAGGAATCTTGATATTTTATTGATAGTGGGTAAAAAATACGGGTAAAAGACTTTTTTGCCTTTGTGAGTGTATCAGTATAAAAAGTAGTGGCAATTGTGTAATAATAATGAAAAAGTAAGAGTAATTTTATAGTAATATGATTATTTATAGAAATGAGACTATTGTTTTTGGACGGACAAAAATGGTAAACAGGACTATTGTATTGGGATGGAGGGAGTATTATTTATTTATATATAATTTATTATTATTTTTAAAAGTTCGATTTTTCGGTTAACCAAAATTAAAAATTGAAAACCATAACCGAACCGAAACCGAAATTTATAAATTTGATTTTGGACCGAACCGCACAAATTAACCGAACAATCCAAACCAAACAGTCCAAACTGAAAAAAATTTCTATTTTTTCGGTTTGAACCAACTAATGTTCACCCAAACTAACACAAATCTATGCAATAAGGGAATCATCTGAAAAAATAGATACAAGTAAAAGAATACAAACTAGGAATACAGAAAAATTGAAGAATGAAAACGTATCACAATGACCATGTTAAAGAAATCAGCAACCAACGCTTACAAATGAATACCTCAGGGTTGAGAAAAGCAAGCTCCCTGATTCTTCCAGATATTGTGTCGTAGTCAAACTCAATTTCTGTAGAGAATACTGCAAGAAAAAAAAAAAAACCTCAAGGTTATCAGTTAATGGCATCACATTCAATTAATTCAAAAAATATTGGCAATTGCCCACAAAATGAACTTCCAACAAAAGATTCCAACCTTCTTTGTCTGGCCAAAAGTGTATACGAGTCCCTTGACGGTCTTTTGTAGCTGCTGGAAGTGTCCTCGAGACTAAATTGGTCACAGGCTTTCCACGGGAATATGTCTGCTTATACTCTTTACCATTTCGCCACACCGTAACTTCAAGTGTCTGTCCGCAAGCAAGAATACAGTTAAAAATTTAGGCCGCTAATAGAATGTTTTTCACATGCCAAACATTTATTAAAAGCATAGGTTAGAAGCTTAAACTTGGAGCAAAGTAAGCATCACAGGGATATCTCGTAAAAAACCAAGCAAAATCTATAATCGACAAAATAAGGCAGAAGCCAAATTTGTTTAGAATGCAATTTTGACAAATCAAAGCATTGACTGAGTTCTTTCGGTTTTCAAGGTGCGTGTACTTCAATCTTCTCAAGTTCATTGGAACTCACAAAACAAAAAAGGGGGAGAAATGGTAAAATGAGCATGAAACATGAGAAGATAAGCAATTTAAACTCGGTTGTGCTTGTTTGTGTTTTCATTAAATTTCTGTACTATGAAAACTACAGCACTATTTTCCACTAAAACCTGACATCAGATACCTCTTTTCATTTAAATCGTCACTTTCAAATGCTACTCAATATTGAAAACATCCAATTGAACAAATTTTTTCATTACAAGCTTTGCGTCCAAAACCTATTTTCAACTTAAAATTTTACAATTTGCAAAACAAGCATAGTAGCTTCTCTTACAACTTTCAAGACAACATGGTTGACAATTAGAGATATTCCTCACTATCACGCAAACTGATCAAGTAATAACAGACTGAGAAACTCAACAACAGAAAACAAAATCTCTAATGGACAAGCACAAAATTCATGGAAAAGCCAAATCAAAGGCAGTTAAAAGCTACAGAAAACAAGAAGTTACACCTCCGACAGGGCATTAACAACCGATAGACCAACACCATGCAATCCACCAGATACGCTATAACCACTACTGGAACCACCAAATTTTCCACCTGCATGCAAAACCTGCAATAATGCCCTTAAGCATAGATTATCCGAGATCTTGAAGGAAAGACATTCCAACTATTATATATACACATAGCATACCAAAATTCAAATATACGACATCATATCCATGCGACTCGCATTACATGGTGGCATAACATCTCGAAAAGCTTGCAACGAAAAATTATCAAAAGATAGCTCATTTATCAATAAATATAATCGGCCAAAAGCCCGAATTAGATGAGAGTAAATGAGGAACAGAGATGCCTGCTCTTCCAATAATCAAACTAAATCAAATTTTATTAAAGAACATTTGGTATAGGTTTCATAAATAAGTAATTTCCTCAGAAGCTGTGTAATTCAAACTGTAGCATTGTAGAATATGATGAGAATTACTTATAGGCAAAAGGCAAAACACAAATGCTCCACTAGCCTTTTCCCCCAACCACGAATAAAATTTTCATCTGTCTTATCAATTCAATGTGATAAATTCACAATGAAAACTTGATAGCAATTATTGATTAGGAGTACCAAATCTATTGCTCGATGAAATTAAGGAAAAGAAAAAAATAATAACTCAAGGTGGAATAATTACGACCGCAAGGATCGTAACTAACCCCGAGCAAACTTGAAGTAAAAAAATTTGCCTCCCCCACTCAAAGATCTATCTCTTCAAGTAAGCTCCAGCCAGGTATGATATTTTTTCGTTAGCAACAGTTATAGGTAAGATCAGTTCCAAAATCAAGCACCATAGATGATCACATGATGCATTGTTAACAGAACAATCTAATACTATGAAAAAGATAAGGTACCGTCAACACAGTCTCCAAAGCAGACTTTTTTGTTGCTGGATGCAAGTCGGTTGGGATCTGTAATGCACGGAAAGTATCATAAGCAAATGATATTGAGATGGAACAAAGTATATTCTAACAGCATATCCAAAACACAATTCTTACAAAGAGGAATTACATGCTCCTATTTTTTACTTTCTTTTTTTTTTTTCGCTAGGGAGTTCAGGAAACTGTGAATGGACGATCAGACCGGACCAAAATGTGGAAATAATTAAGAGGCAATGCCAATTCCAAGAAACAAAATTTTCATGAATATGATGTGGCTTCCGAAATAGGGTATTACTTAAAAGAAGATTATTCAAAGAGAAAGGCCACATTAATCAGTGAATTGAGGTGGGATTATTTATGATCAGTAGATCACCTCAAGTATATTCAAAGTTGTTTCTATTGGTATAAAAATAAAAGAGATCAAGTACCTCCCGATATACTTGTACACACAGAATAAGTTACACAACAATAAACTTGTTGTGGTAAATAATTTAGCTTTGAAACTTTTGTGTGATGTAATGAACGTAAGTATCATCGCTGAAGACACTACAACACCCCACAACATCTTAGTAGGGTACGTACAAACACGATGAATGATGCCAAACTAAATAAAATAAAATAAAATAAATAGAAAGAAAAATAAAAAGAGAAAGAAAAGTGAGTCCGGCTCTACAACATAAATAACATTCCAAAACACTAAACGAAAATTGTAGCTTGTTTTATACTGATTTCAAGTAACGTAAAGGAAAAGAATCATATACCCCCCGGCCATCGTCAGTGACACACACGGAATTGTCTGCAAGAAGAACAACATCAATTTTTGAAGCAAATCCTGCTTGCGCTTCATCAATCGCATTATCCAAGATTTCATAAACCTTAAAAGAAGTCAGCAGAACACGCAACACTAATCAGCAAATGCTTTTGCTTACACTACGATGAGCATTATAAATATGTGCATAACATACCAAATGATGCAAACCACGAGATCCCGTACTCCCAATGTACATGCCAGGCCGTTTTCTTACAGGATCTAACCCTTCCAAAACCTAGACCAACATTAGAACAAGAAAGAATCAAACGTGTAACGGTTCGAACCACTTTAGATGGCATGACAAATAAAATAGCATACAACTAACCTGAATCTGTTCGGACCCATATTCTTTTGACCCTTTACTTTCACGAACAGCATCAGTGTTGACGCTTGATGACATGAATGCTCTCGGAGCCGCAACACTCCATGATAAATAATTGCTCAATCCGTTCCTAAACCTATCACTCGCTCTGTAACAAAACAAGGAAATGCCCACACCCATTCACAAGACTGAAAAACTTTGAGGTCCAGATATTAAACTGTGTTCTATAATATTTACATCACCAACCCATAGTAGAATTAAATTCTTTATTTTGGGCGTATTCGTATTTTAACCTTTTTTTTGAGCAATGCAATATACAATTTTTTTTAAATAAAAAAATCCCCTTAAAATACATTACATCGGACACCTATTTTCATTCAAATAATCACACCCAAATCCTATTTTCCACTCGAAACATCACATCAAACTAATTTCCATATTTAAAACATCAGTTCAAAAGCACTTCAAAACACAACATATAAAACCTTTAGGTTGTGTTTGTTTTAAATTTTCAGCATTCCCAGTATTGACTATTTTCATAAACTATTTTTTCTCATAAACATCAAATCAAGCAACTCTTTCACATAAAAAAAGCAACAAAAAATCAAACAACACAAACACTACTTTCTAATGAAAAAATGTACAGCATCAGCTCACATTTTTCTCAATCGCAAATAACATTGCGCCTAGGCAACATAGAAACACTCAAAGCTCGTAATTCATATTGTATATACAGAAGTGCCCCAAGTTTGGCACCATTAAAGTACAACCAAAAGCAGAGAATCCAACCAACACAAAACGAAAACTGGTGATACATAAATGAACAAATTCTATAGCAACCATTCCATTCCATTCAATCCAAACTAAACATACTAACAAATTCTCCGGCGTCATATCGGTTCTCAACCTCCAATAAAACACTCAAGGCATAAACGATAAACTAAATTAATAAACACATACAAAAGAGCTCCTCTCGCAAAAATTAAACTACAATCCACAGAACCAACAACAAATACATAGAGATGAAGCAAAAAAAAAAAGGAACGGAAAGGAAAGGAAACTACCTGCTACTAAAGAGTACGAACGACGGCCGCGCCGGCGGCGAACAGGGAGAGGACAAAGTCCGGTGAGCAGTGGAGTGAAAAGAGCGAAGGGAGGAGGACGTGTAGGCCATTATTCGTTTGAAGGAATTGCTAGCCATTCATGTATGGGGTGCGTCGTGGATTTGATTTCGCTGTCAGATTGTTGTCTGTATTTGGAAATTGGGACGAAGAAATGGGAATTGGGTTTTAGGTTGGAGCCGAGGTTTAAAGGGCAGTGAGCGACTAAAATGACGATAGCATTTTGTTTGTTGGTGGGAAATACCCAACCCAAGGGGGGGTTGGATTTTTCAAAACCCTAATTTTAATTTTACGAAATTGTACCGTTTAGTTTTGAGATTGCAATCCGACTCCTGCATTACAGCTTAATTATAATTTGAACCAGCTTAATTACAGCTTAATTTAGAATTTTGGAGGGTGTTCGAAAATTGAACCGTTTTTAGCTGTTTGATCAGTTAAAAAACACAAACACAAAAAATCTAATTTTTTAAAAGCTCACATACCCATTGTTTGAAAGAGCTTTTTTATTTTAATTTTGATTATTCATAATTTACCATTAAAACTTAATTATTTATTTTTATATATAAATATATTATTATAGCAGTATTTATTTATTATTTTTAATATATTTAATTTATTAAATTATATTTTTATTTTTATAAATTTTAAATAATTACTATTATTAATTATTATATAAAAATTATTATATTTGTAAAATATATAAATTTTTAAAACTAAATCGAATAGAAAAAATAAAGATTATTAATTTATTTATATATATATTAAAACAATAATTAACATAATAAAAATATATATACAAAAGATTAATTATTTTATATTTTACATAATTTTAATAAAAACTTATTATGTTTTAGTAAAAATAATTTTTTTAAATTTAAATAATAAAAATAAATATAAATATTTTATAATATTTTTATAATTTTCAATAATTAATAACAAAAATTCTCATAAATTTCAAACAAAAATGAACATAATTAAATATTTTAAAAAATAGCATATCAATGTACTTAATAGTCATTTTATATATAAACAACTAATGTCAAAAAGTTGTTTTACCAACCACTTTAATACAAACCGCTAATTGAATCAGCTAATCAAACCAGCTAATTGAATCAGCTAACGGCTAAAAGCTATTAGCTAATTGCCAAACGCACCTTAGTATTTATTTAGTAGAGTATTTATTTATTTATTACAGTATTATTTTTATATATATAGTATCAACTTTATTTTAAAATTTCAAAAGTTTTAATTTTTTTTTTATATACGCGACCCTTTTGATTGGAGTAAACCCTGGTCGAATTTAATAGCTATAAACTAGATTTGATAAGATAAATTATACTCAGATGAAAACTTAGAAATGTCTACATTTTGCATGGATATGTTAAGGTTTAAAAGAGTTTTTTTTTTTTTTCTTTTTTTCTAATTTTCTTTTCAAAGTTTATCATTTAATTTATATTTTTAAAAACAAAAGACGAAATATTACATTATATATTATTTAAATATAAAATTTAATTCAAATGATTTGGATTCAAATCTAAAGAAACACGACTTTAAAGATCCGTCATAATATAGATTTTTAGATTCTATATAGATTTAAGCTTTATTTTTTAGATTTTTGAAATTTTGAAAATAATAAAAAAAAATAATATATAATGTTATGTATCATAAGAAAAATTATATTCCCTCCGTCTTATAACAAACTATCTATTTTTCTTCTATTTTAGTTCGTTCCATAACAAAGTATCTATTTATTTATTTATTTTTAATAAGTAACTGTATTATCTACCTAACCTTACAAATACCCTTACAATACAATATATTACACAAATGTCATTACATTTATACCACACAATACTAATAAAGTTATTTTAGTCATTTATATTTTATTTATACCATATCCCAATATAATACTAATATTTCTAAAACTACGTGAAAAAACAAACGAATACTTAATTATGGGAAGGAGAGAATATATTTAATTGCATGATATTTTTGAAATAATATCAAATACTCCAAAACAAAGCCCACTTTTAAAACTTTGTAAGGTTCTTACAATTTGAACATGTAATTAAACGGACAAAACTTTGGAAAAAGTATTACATTCCAACATAAACCAAAATAAAACTCAGACAATAATAGCTTGCTTCATTTACAAATTTCTCACTAATTCAAAATACAAACTTCTAACAATCCCAAAATCACACAAAACTCCAAAATAGCACACTTACAAACAAATCTTTCTACTAAGCATGCATATATCATTTCTATAAGCGATGAATGATTATTAGATCAAATCCAAAAAGAATACTAACGGTAAGTAAGTACTAAACACCATCATCATCAACAACAAATCTTTCTACTATATGTCAATACTAGTAAAAAGTACTTAAACTCGACTCGACTTGACTCACCGTGATCGATCGTAATGTGAATATACAAATGTGGGTGTGTGTCGCCCTTTAAGCATATCTTCCATTCCTGAAATCAAAACAAGAGCTCATCATAAAGCAGCCATGCATCGGCACCGGTCATAACACAACTTCCCATTAATACGTAACGATATGGTATTGGCATTCCATATTTAAATTTCCAGATGATTGATCGAATAAGAGTTTTGGAAGAATTTTGAAAATAATAAAAAAAAACTACTAATATTTAATGTAATAGGTGTGTTTGTTTTGTGAAATTGTAATTTTTATGTGATTTATTGTTTAGAGAATATAAAAATAATGTAGGTAGCGTATTAACTTTTTTGAAAAAACACATGGAAAAAAAGTATTAAAGAAACAAAGCCAATATTCCTTCCTTAAAAATATGTTCAAATTTTGAACATGAGTTTTAATGTAGGTGTTTTCTTTTTGTTCTTTTTTTACTTTTTATAGTAAAAAATACAAAGCGTAGATATAGAAATTTAGTTAAAGTATAATTAATAATTAACTGTATTAATAAAAATAATTATTGTATAATAAAATTAATTATAAATTAAGATACCTAATTAGTATAAATAAGATTAAAAAAATTATAAATTATGAAATTTAAAATGTGATTAAAGTGTATAATTATATTTTCTAAAAAAAATAATGACAAATATACGAAAATAAAAATAATTGACTAAAAATATGGGACGAAAGGAGAATGATTTTTTACTAAAAATGAATATTAATACTATTTTTTTTTTATGACAAAACAAAAAAGAAAGTGAATGTTTTTTAAAATTATTGTCGATAAATAGAATCAATTTTTTTAATCTTTTTAAATGTGTATAAAACAAAGCTACTAGTGAATTTTTCTTCTGTTTTTTTACCTGAGGGAATGTGTGTGAGGCATTGCATTGGCACCTCTTGCACCGGTGCCGGTGGAGCGCCGATGATTCTTCTCTTCATTTCCGTTGCGCATAGCCGCAACTTCCTTTTCCATTGTAGCCACCTCTCGTCGCATTTTCTTGGCCTCGCTTTCCACCGCCTTATTTAGCGTCTCCACTTTCTTGGCAAGCATCTAACATGGTTTTCGACATCGAAATGTTACAACATTTTCAAGTGTTACCAAAATGAATATATATATACATGTATGCATCGACAAACCTCGATCGCATTGTCTTTGTCCTTCATGCTTTGGTTTTTCTCATGACAAGCTTTCCGGAGCATCATAACTTCTTTCTGCAGCATATCATAGAGCACTCCGGAAACATAGTCTTCAGTCTCGATTTTAATCCCATTCTCGTATATAGTAATTCTTCCGTTGTTCAGATTCTCTTGGTCGCCCGTCGGTTGATTGCCTTTCTCATTAGTATCCGAAGCCACGGTGTCGGTACGGTTCAATGCACCATTGCCGTCGAAAGACGGCGATCCGTTCGAGTTTCGGGATTGCCTGTGCAAGTTTTCGGCGCCTCCGAGCGTCTGCCTTCGCCAAGCATACTTAGATTTAATTCTTCCCTGCGATAATGTGCCGGTCGTTCCGTTCGGGGAAGCTTTAAGTCTTTCCTCCATTACTTTAAACCTCAGCTGGAATTTTTCCTAAGACGTCGAAAACGATAAAGATCAGATGTTTGTCGGTAACAAGAAAAAAGATCGCGAATCAAATGTATACGGTATAGTCACCTTCAACTGAGCTTCAGCCTTTGCGGCGCGCTCCGCAATGGCTAGTTTATCTTTTAGATGTTGCATTTCGCCCTGTATTGATCGGAAATTTGAATAATTATCGCTAGGGGTGGAAAAATATATCGAAATATCGTATATATCGTACTAAAAATATACTGAAAATACCGAATTTTTGGTATACCGTAAATTTTGGTACAATAACGGTATGCATTTTTTATTTTTTCGGTATATACCGAAAAAACCGACATACTGAATTATTTTTGATATTCCAGTATCTCAATATTTAAATACCGAAAATACCGAAGTTATGTTATACTTAATATATGGTAAATTTATCGCATGTAATAATGATATATTTAGAGCTGGCAAAAATTGACCCGACACAACAATCCGACACAAAATAATTGGGTTTGAGTCAAAGATTTCAACCCGATTATATATACGGATTGATACGAACTCGACACGACAAATCGATTATAATATATTAATATTGATTAATATATTTATTATACACGACAATAAATTATTTAATTTGAATCAAGACTTAATTATGTATACAGATCAACACAAGTCAACCCGAACCCGACACGATAATAAATAGATCGGGTTAGAGTTGAGTAATTTAATTCGTTTAAAGTATTCAACCCGACATGAACCCGACACGGATCGACCCATTGCTAGCTCTAGGTATATTCATGTCTCATTATTTTAGTAAACAAAATGTATACAAGAAGGAACCTGATAGAGTTTTCTTTCTTCGAGCCACTGCTTTACCGGCATTACTTTATCGCTTGCATCTTTCCAATCATTTGCAACGACAACAGCTACACGATTTGCAGATACCTTAGCACGAGCTAGTTCGCGTTCTAGAATTCTTTTTTCTTCCTGCTCAAGTTCGTGCGATCAGTAACACTGCCTATAATATTATTCATTAAATAAAAAATATATTAAAAAAAAATAAAAAATGTGATGCCCACATTTAGTTCTTGCACTTTCCGTTGATAGTCGCGGACAGCATTGGCGGCAGCACCTCCGGCCAAGACAGCTTCTTCGAGCTCATGAACGGTTTGTGTTAGCTTTTCAACCTCAGAAACCTTTTGCCTTTGCAATTTGTCCAAGATTTTGTTCTCTTCCTGATACAAATATCGTGTGATTTGTGAATGCACTGTCGGAAATCTACAAATAGATATCAAATTATCCGAAATAGGCGAACCTGGCATATCTCTATTTGTTTACACAAATCTTGGTTTTTGTTCTGTAGCTCATCGACCATGGATGCTTTCGTTAGAGCCATCTCGATTGTATGTTCTGCTTCCAGGAGAGCAGCTTCTTTAGTTTTGCTGAGTCGTTCGAGGGCTCTGTTGTCGTCTTGTAGCTTTGCAACCTAAGAAACGTAATATCAAGACATTCAATTAGAATTCATTGTCATAGATTCATTACAGAAGTTGGTTTCGGTTAATTTATTCGGTTAATTTGCACCTCTGTTCTTGCTAGCTTTAACTCCGCCTCTAATGGCGCAATGATAGCCTCAATGGGAGGCATCTCATCATCCTTCTGTGCGGCATGCACCCTTCGAAGTGTGGCTTCTGCGGCAAATTGTGCAGCCAGAGCTGCTTTTTTCTCCTCATTTATCTTCTTGATTTCTAAATTCTGAAACTCACAAGTGATAATGTAATCTTTTCGTCAATGAAAAACTAAATCAAATAAATGTGAATGATGTGTAGCCAGAGCTGTTTGTTTTTCTTCTCTTATTTATAATCTTTTGATCAATGTAATACTTTAATAAAGAAATATGTGAATGATGTAAGAGCCGAAAACCAGAGATATACCTTGCTTTCAAGCTGAGATTGTGTTGCTTTTAACTTCCCATCAATTTTTGTAAGCTCATCAGTAAGCTAGAAGAAATATAAACAACCATTAAGACATCTTTCCCCAATGTGGAACTAATTCATTAATCGATAAAAGAACAATAAGTTTTATTGCAGCAACGTGACCACAGAGCAAACGAACACGAAAAAAGTTGCAATCAACATGAAATAGAAAAGATAACATGAAACTTGGCTTTGGTAAGAAACAAAAGCTTAATAACTATGATTGATTTTATTTTCGTTCCTCCTACAAAATTTTGGATTCAGCCACTTGTTAAAGCATCGATTGATAGCATATGAAAACTCAACATGGCAATGTTTACCTCTTCAACTGCTTTTTCTTTAAGGCGTTCTGAGAGCTTCAATGATTTGATTTCAGCATTTGCCTCTCCCAGCTCTCTATCCTTATCTGCACATTTTGCAGCATTTTATAGTAAGGATACTAAAATGTTTTATGTGGAGTAGTTCTCCATAGAGCATAAAATTCTAGATAAATTCACACTATCTTGATAAGAGGATAAGCTGATCTGCCAGTTGCAGCAAAGGGAAATCTATGATGATATAAGACTTGCAAATTTCAAAAGATTCACTAATGCGAGATCACGGTTTCATTGCCTGCTACTAACAACTTTACAAGCATCATCCCTTCTGAATCTAAGATATGAAGACATATATTCAATAAAAAGTACAAGTCAATAACTTGATATTCGTTTAACTCAGGTTCTCAATTATATGTTGAGTTAATTTCTTAATTGTGCACACTTAAGAAGAAAGTAACATCCAATCGAGAATTATCATCGACGATAATGCAAGATATCTCTATTCACATTAGGAAAATAAGGCATTCGAAGTTAAACCGCCACACCATTCTCACATATAAAGCCCAGCAATTTTTCGAGACATAGATGGTTGCTAAATTCCAAACATCCATGACTATGACTGAATTGACAGGAGGAGGAGTTGGCTTGAAGGCCCAAGAAAGCCAGAGAATAATTTTGTAGTTGTAATAAATACAAAGATACTCAAAACAGACCAATTCAGCATCTTTAATAAAACAAGAAATGTAAATTGATAAGAACTCCCCAAAGAAAGGAGTGGACCTTCAAAATTGGCTTTACTTCTACTCATACAAAGTCCTTATCCGCTACCCCACAAACCACGTGCTGCCTAATTCCCACCAACATTTCTTCATTCATCAAAAACATCTGCCTTCCAAACCCAATTTCTCACACATCATAACAACAATGATAAACTCTGGAGTATTGCTATCATTTTCTACACAGATTTTTTTCTTTTGTCCAAATTAAAGGAAAATATGAAACCCCATGGAACAATTTTCTACTACCTTAATACAGAATTCTAGGGCAAACATAGTAGTTTGAAAATTCAATCAGCAAATAGGAAGCCTTCAAAAGTTTATAACCAGAACCTAAAGAACTACAGCACAATTATTTCATTAGCACTTCCAGTTATATAGGAAGAAATGTATAAACCTTTCCAGGTTATGATATCATCAAACACAAAATCCATTAATTAATATATTATGCTCTGCTTCCGCAATTTCTGGATGCAATCCAGACAGTATCCAAATTGGAGTACTGAAATGAAATTAAACAATCTATTTGCTATTCAATTACCAAATTCAGATTCAAACATAACTCCCAGCCTCAACAAATCGAACGTCAAATACCTCTTTCACACACAAAATCAAACCAAAACACCAAATATATTATCATCCGCTTCTGCCTTTGATGCAATCCAGATAGTATCCAAATCACAGTACTGAAATGAAACCAAACCCCCTATTTGCTATTCAATCACCAAAATCAGATTCAAACAGAACTCCCAGCCTAAACAAAATCGAACGTCAAAAACCTCTTCCACACACAAAATCAAACCAAAACAATAACACTACCTCGCAGTTCGTTTTCGAGGCGAGCGAGCTCGACGCGCACAGGATCAGAGCCATGCAACAGCGTAACGATGTCGTCCACCTCAGAACCAACTCGCGATAACAACTTCTTCTTAGCCTTGAACGAAGCTGACGGCGTCAGCGCCTCACCATTATAATAACTCCCCATCAATTCACCCTCGAGCTGCACCTTACACTTTAATTACCAAATTCACCAAAATTCCTGCAAATTCGGAGATTGCGATTCTGCTACACCATAATTGCTTCTTCCCTGCCCCTGTATCTGCACACAATCGTACAATTCGTGCGTATATATATAAATGTTTGTACGTATATCTGCAGAGAGACAAAGAGTGTCTTAGCTGAGAGGAGAGTATTGATTGTGGGGTTTATATAGAGCGAGTGTATAACGATAAGTCGTTTATTGAGAGGTCCCTGGACTTCTACACCCGATGCTCAACATACACCGCTGGAATTGCAATCTGGTGCTGAGATCACAGAAGGCTGTGACGCATTTGGCAAGGTTTTAATCAAACCAGGGACGGGTTTTTATCCTCTGCACCGCACCACATCCTACAGATTTTGTTCGCGCGCCACGTGGCCACTATCATAGTATTAATTTAATTAAGGGTGTGTTTGTTCGAGGAATTTGTTTGGATTTCCAATAATCATATTTTTTTTCCCAAAAACATCAAATCAAATATTTATTTTTTTATATTATATTAAAAATTAATTTTACATTCAAAACATCACATCAACACCTATTTATATCACATCATACAACTAATCAAATTCAAAATTTTTACAATTCAAATCCCAGTTAAAAATCCAAACCCCCAAGCAAACACACCCTTAGTTCATTTTGTAACTTCACACTAATTAACACTGTTGGGTTTGCTTTCAATCTTTTATTGTTTTCAAATTTACAAAAATAAACAAACACAATTTTCAAAGCATTGTTTCCTTAAACCTTTTTCGGATATCTATCTCGTTTGATAATCTTCTACTATTACAAAAAGTGCCATTAATTAATTATGATTGATTTTGTCAAATTAAAAAAAAAAAAAAAAAAAACACATCCAACGGCCACAAATCGCATCCAACGGCCACAAATCGTCGACTAATGTGGTCCTTTTTCATAACGTTATACTTCTATTTTACCGTTGCAATTCCAGAATTTATTTGTTTTTATTAATCTTTACGTGCAAATAATAATAATAATTGGTCAAAATAACTATCTCAAAATTAGAGTTGAAAATCCAGTGGCAGAGGATTTAAATTTTGAATAATTAATATTTTAAATTGAAATATTTATTTAATATAATATTAATATATTCTCTCTGTAAGATAATGTGGATAGTAAATACGAAAATTTATACAAGTACAATTAGTAATTAATTAAAAATTATAATTTTTTATTTTTTTTATTTTTTTTAAAAAAATTATTTTTACCTACAATTCCATCCTTTTTAGTTTTTTTTTTTTTTATATATGTAATATTTATATATATAGTAAAAAATTTAATTAAAATAATCTAAAGATATATTTTTATATATGGTGTATTTGTTTGGATTTGAATTTTGAATTTAGATTTTAAATAATAATAAAAGTTAATTTAAATATTTTTTTATATAATATAAGTATGTATTATGTACATTATTTTAAATATAAAATTAATTTTTAGTAAAAATAAAAAAATTATATTAAAAAAACCCCAACAAAACGCATAGAGACATAAACAATCTTTGCTATTTTTTAAAAATAAAATTTTCTTTTAATAAAAAATTGTACTTATCAATTTCTAGCAATACCAAAATAAATATTACAATATATAATTAATATTGTTGTAGTTTGTTATTTTGCAAAATTTTTAAAATATTATATACCAAAAAATAAAATTATCTGAGGTTATTTTATTTCAAAAAAAAAAATTAGTCTCCCTTCTCGTCAAATCCTAGTTGCCGAGCTTAGTATATAAATTATTAGGTTTGTCTGAGAATTTATTCCCTCATAATACATTTTAAAATAATGATATATTTTTACGTCATAAATAAAATAAATATATATATAATAATATAATAAAATGTCCGAATTAAAATGATAAGAAAACATAAGCATGTGGTGCATAATAAGTGAGCCTAACAGTCAGCACAAAAACATTAATTAAAATGATGTAATAACTCAACCACTAATAAACGAACATCCACTAACACTAACATAACAGCAGCTGCCAGCCCGCCAGCCAGCCAATCCATCGCGGATCGATCTAAGATCGGACGGCGCAGGAGGAGGGGAACACGGTAAGTAGCGTGGACGCGCCCGCAGAGGATGAGGCGGGGATAGAAAGCAAACAAGATAGACGAAGACAAGAGCACATGGGAAATGGTTGGGTAAGTGTAAGTGGGGAATGTTATAAGATAAAGAAAGCGTCAAAGACAGCACATGCGATTCTTACCTTTTTCATTCAAAAGCGTCATTCCTAATTTTATGCCCTCTCCCTAACCCCCACTTTTCCTACACTAAACTATCTCAATTTTTACTAAAAATGAATAAAATATTTTGTATTTTATTTATTACGTGAAACTCTCTTATGTTAATATAAAATTTATAATAATTTTTTTTTTTTTTTCCAAAATTGATATTTGATTCTAAATAAAAACCTAAATTACACAAATTTAATACAAATAAAAAATACACAAAATATCTTAAATAATTTTTTTAAAATAAAATAAATAAAAAAATAATTGATTATTTCTTCAGTTTTTGAAAATTTATTGTTATATGATTTTTAAAAAAAGTTATAAAAATAAATGATTGATCAATTATTTATCTATTTTATTCAAAAAAATTATTTAAAATATTTTTGTTTTTTATTTGTATAAAAATTAAGTAATTTAGATATTTATTTAGAATCAAATATCACTTTTGGACAAAGATAGTGTTTTGTGCAAATTTTATATAAACACAATAAAATTTCACGTGTATTTTTATTAAAATATAAGAAGGTATTATATAATTTACCCCAATTTTTTAAATGAATCAACTTTTTTTTTTTTCATATTTTCTCCGTCCATTATAATTATATAAGTCTGATTAAACATAAAATTTTTAAAAGATAATAATATTATAATATTAAAATATAATAAATAATAAATAAATAAAATATAGTAATAAAAAATAATAAGATAACAGGCCGGCCCTGGGCATGGGCCACCCGGGCCGACGCCCAGGGCCCAAAACTTTGGGTCCATTTGGGTACTCATTTTTAAAAAGTATATATGTATATATATAAAACAAAATTTATAAATATATACATAATATAAAAAATAATACATTAAAAGTTAAGTTCTTGAAATGTATTTTAATATAATATTTTATAAAAAAGTAGTATATGTTTATTAAAAATATAATCAAATAAGCTAATTTTTTTAAATAAAAAATATTAGTTATATATAAACAAATCAAATATTCATTTCGTCCTGTTAGTTGGAATGGTGACATTTGTTTTTTTTTTACGTAGATTTTTTAATATTAGTATTATATTAAATTGTAGTAAAAAGATAAAAATACCCCTATTAGTATGATGTAATATAAAAATAATGATATTTGTGTAATATATTGTAAGTTGAAAGAATATTTATTATGTTAAGTAGGTAGTACAATTACTAAATTAAAAAATGATAATCTTGTTTTAGAACGGACAAAAATAGAAAATGGTAACTTTTCAATGGACGAAGGAAGTAATATTATTAGTGTTTGATAGGGAGTCTTTGGGGATTTTAAACTATTCATCAGTTTATATATATATAATATTATTAAATTAAATTGTTATATTTTATATTATATTAAAATTAATTTTACATTAAAAAATTTTACATCAACATTTATTTATATTAAAACAAACGATTATTTTAAATTGAATTTTAAAATTTTAAAATAAATAACTCAAATCCTCACCCAAATGTACACTAAAAAACACACACACAATCTTTAGTTTTCGTTCTAAATATTATTTAGAATATTTTAAAATTTTTATTACTTAGATTAAAATTTGGGGTTTGAAAGTATTTTTGTATCTGTATTTTTAAAAATTATTTTGTACCATTTATACAACTATCTACAATTTAATATTTATTTAAATATTATGTACTCCGTATAATTTTGATGGTTTTAATTTTAATTTTAATTTTTTTAATTATTTTATTCTTACTTTTTATTTAAAATATTTTATAAATTATATATATATATATATGAACATTATATAAATTTACAAGACATTTCAAATTAAAAAAAAAATAACAATAAAAAATTTGGAATAAAATGAGCATTATATAAGTAAAACTGAGTGGTCTTGAATATGCAATTAAAACATGCTATTTTACCTCAGCGTTTCTATGCATTAATCTAATTTAATTTGATATATATATATATATTTTATTATTGAAAATGGTTAAAATATTATTAAAATATTTATTTTGATTGTTTCTAAAATATCTTGAGAGAAATTAAAAATGTAATTCAAACTGACATTATCCATTATATATAATTTTCAATAAAAATATATAATTTTTTTTATATATAAAATATCACATAAAAATATCATTTAAACAAAAAATTTAAAAATTAATTTTGTATTTCAAATCAATTTCAATCCACAACTAAACAAATTAAATATATATATATATATTGAAATTAAACAAGTCACATTATTGTTTTAAATGATAATTTAGCAAACACCTAATTTAATTAAATTATTATTACATATATATATATATAATTTGATTGAACAACAAGTAACAAGTAGGTAGGGATAAACACAAATGCAAACTATAAAGATCATTTATTTTGAATAAATAATAAAAATGGAACACAAAAACACTGCAAGTGAACCCATAAATGCATGTTTTCTTAATAGGCCCATATTATTATTATTATTATTATTATTATTATTATTACTGTCTCCGTCTTAATTGGGTTGGACATGAGATTTAAGGAATATCGATATTATATTAGTAGTGAGTTAAAAGTATGAATAAAAGATTTTTTTTTTGCCTACGTAAATGTATTACTGTAAAAAATAGTGACAATTGTGTAATAAAAATGGAAAAGTAAGGGTAATTTTACGGTGATATGGTTATTTATGAAAATAAGACTATTATTTTGGGACGGACATTATTTTCGGTCCTATTTTTTTTTTGTCATTTTTATTTTTGGTACAATATTCTAAATGTATAATTTTGAACTTTTTTTTGTCGTTTGTTTTACTTTTATTTATTTTGTATTTTTCATGAACATATTTTTTGTTTATATTAGTATTATATTAGTAATATAGAAAATAATATTTTGTATTGAATTATTGACTTTTTGTAAATTGATAAAAAATATATATATTATATTACGTTAATGTGTATATATTGTATTTTTAATATAGTAACATCTATAAAATTTGTCCCACAAAAAATACAAGTGAAAAAACGTTAATTAATCCCAATTGCTCGATGTAATTGATATTCTTTTTTACTCTTTTAATTTAATTTATAATAATAATAATAATAATAAAATCCTACCTTCATACCACCCACGTATCAGAAACACTAATATTGAATGTGTGTATGTTTAGTAATTTTAATTTAAAGTCATTATTTATATTCACTATAAAGTCATTATTTATATTCACTATTCCCTACGTCCCATGTAATATGAGTATATTACTGTAGACACGAGAATTTAGGTAAAATATAATTAGTAAATAATTAAGAAATGTATTAGTAAAAATAATTATTATTTAGTAAAAATAATTATAGATTAAGATTAAGATAAGTAAATAGTTTAATTAAAATTAAGAAAATTATAAAATTTAAAATTTAAAATACGATTAAAGTACATAATTATATTTCCAAAAATAGAAATGACAAGTTATGTGGAACGGACAAAAATAGAAAATAAGGACAAATTATGTGGGACAGAGGGAGTATAAAAAAGCATCCCGATATATATATATATATTTATACAAAAAATAATATTTGACGTTAAATTATTACTCTCTCGTTCCCATAACTAAGTATCCATCTGCTTTTTACACATAATTTTAGAAATATTAGTATTATATTGAAATATAGTAGGAATAAAGTAAAAATGACTAAAATAACTTTATTAGTATTGTATGATATAAAAGCTATGACATTTGTGTAATATATTGTAAATTGTAAGAGTATTTATAATGTTAGGTAGATAGTACAATTACTAAAAAAAGAAATAGATACTTTGTTATTGGACGGACTAAAATGAAAAAATGAATAGTTTGTTATGCGATTGATTTTTTAAAGAATTTGTAGAGTATACTTCTATGTATTCTATTAGTGTGCATATATATAATATTTTTATATTCTTTTTCGTCATACAAATTTATGTTTACTTTTATTTTTATCTTATTTTTATTTTTTAATTTTTTTTTTACAACAATGACTATATAAAAACCTATATCTTATAATAATGAAACTTACATGTAATAAAAAAAACATTCTAGTTGATATGTTTTTCATTAGATTGTGAAAATTTTAGAACAAAGTCCTATCCCGACCCAACATGGCTGTCGCGCTCGATCCGGTAAGAAGGGGACGGATCAAGAAAGCGATGCAAATCGATAAAGGGAATGCATCGGGATTAAGACATGAGATGGCGAAGTTTTCGAACACAAGGGGACAACATGTGAAATGAAGTCCAAAAAGTGCAAGCTTAGAATGGATAGTTAACTACTAATGAATATGCAAGAATCCAAAACATTGACATAAATGTGTTAGAAAGAAAAAAGAAAAGCGAAAAAAAAAAAAAAAAAAAAAAAGTGGAGCCGCGCGCACAGTTTATGGCGTCGAAGGCTAAATATGCCCCGCGATTAAGGTTTCAGCCCCACACGGCCTTTCTTACAACTTGATTTAGTCAGAAAATCGCGACATGAAATTTCTAGATAAGAACCAACGAGCTTGATCTGTTAGAAGAATAGTATCAGTAATATAAAAAATAATATTTTATGTTGAATAGAATAATATATATATATATATTATGTTAATATATTTATATTTATAAATTTTGATTTTGAACTGTAAAATTTTGAATTGAAATAATTGTTTGATTTTAAATGTAAAAATAAATTTTAATATAATATAATAAATAAAAAATAAATATTTGATTTAATATTTTCAGAGAAAAAATTATTGAATAGTATAATAAAAAAACAAAATTGTACTTTACACATTTACTATACATATAGTATCAACTATAAAATAGTACTCTCTTTGTCCTGGCTTTTTATGCCAATTGCAGGAATACAAAAAGTCGAAGGCTAAGAAATAATAATGAATGAAATAAGTATAAAATAATAATTGTTTTAACTCTTTTTTTACATATTTGAAAATTCTTGACATTATTCATCAACAATAATAGATAGATATATATTATTAATAAACGATGATTTGCCTTGTTGAACATAATTTGCAGGATATTAGGTTCGATCGTGAATTTACTTTGTGCGCACTTTCGAATAACAGCTTCGGATTTCCACGCTATAAATAATAATAATAATTACTTGAAGTCTCTTTACATATACATTTTTTTAAAAATTTTGACATTATTTATAGACACTAACTTTTAAAAAACATCATTGTTTCCTCTCATCATATATTTAACTTAAATTATACTTCCTCTGTCCCAAAAGTATAATCTTGTTGTGTTTGACACGTGATTTAAGAAATATTGATATTATATTAATAATCGGTAAAAAGTAAGAATAAATGACTTTTTTGTCCTTGTGAGTATATTAACGTAAAAAGTAGCGTCAATTATGTAATAATAATAAAAAGAAATAGAAATAATTTTATGGTGATATAATTATTTATGGAATTGAAACTATTGTTTTGGAACGGATAAAAATAATAAACAAAACTATTGTATTGGATCAGAGGGAGTATATATATATATATATATATATAAGATTTCTATCTAAAGAAACTTTGATTATTCGGAACATGAATATCGAAGATGGTGTAAGAATCAAATGCCATCACTTATTACAAGCCTACAACATTTACACACAATACATACACTTATATATACATACATACATATATATATATATTTCTATTACATCTATCTATCATCTTCCTACATTATTATTATTATTATTATTAGCCACACAACCAAACCATCGCTGCTATCCCTTTTAACTTAAAACCCAGTTCGATTCGACGGAAAATAATTTTCATACCGTACATGCGCCGATCGCATCATCCCAGCTCGCGCGTCCGGGCCAGCCACAGAGAGCTGAGGGCCCGGAGTCTCGAGAAGTAGTCATGTATCAGGAGCAGGGCGCGGGCTGATTGCCTCGTCGTAAGTACCCGATGCATCTGTTGTAGTGTTTGTTGTCTCAAGTTGTCCGCCTATTACATACAAAACAAAAGATAACTCAGTCGACTAGCTCGACTCGTTTAACAGCTCTAATTACAAAACGGCATCAGGCAACAACGAGAGAGATACCAAATTTGGCAACTCGATATATATATTTATATATAATATATATGTCTTGCCAAGTATCCTAAATACGGTTAGATGGCACAATCAGTGACGGAATCAGCCATAAAATTTAGATAATACCATAAAATCGATAAAATTCGTCTTTTTATCAATTCAATCTTGTCTTTTTCGACTTCTCCCGACTCAATCCGGTAAAAAGAAAAAAATTGAAAATAAACTAAACATTTTACAGAAAAAATTAACAAAACTACATAAAATTTAATATGTTTTACTAAAACAAATAAATTTAAGAAAAGTGTAAACCAACAAAACAAATTTTTATAATTATTTTTTACACTATAAAATAAAAAATTAAGAGCAAAATAATAAAATTATATATATTTTTTATTATTTTTAGTACTAAAAAATACATATATTTTGAAGGCTGAGTGGTCCCCTAGCCCCCTAGTAAGTCCTTCCATGGGTACAATGTACCGTATACGATATCGAAAATATCAATATAGAAAGATATTATACCAATATTGTACTGAACCATTCAATAAATATTTACAGTATATCTTACAAAAAATTGATACTCTGAATTGAAAAATTATTGAAATACCAAAAATAGCTAAAAATATTAAAAATTACCAATATATTGAAATACCAAAAATAGCTAAAAATATTGAAAATTACCAACATATACCGAACTTCGATATACATCAATACCACATATATATACCGAGTTTCGATACAGTAACGAGATATAAAGTTCTATACCATTACCGTACTGAAAACCTAAGTGACGGTATACTATACTAAAAATCACGGTTACTCATATCTTCTCAATATAGCATATACGGTATACTATATTTTCGATATTTTTTTCCAACTCTACCGCTAAACGATCCTACTCGATCATCCTTATTTTTTCGAAATCCAAATTTGACCTCAACCTTAGTTAAAACGAGACGGGTAACACAAATTCGAAATCATAGTTATCTCTAGGTTCAGATCAAGTTGTTAAGATCGTTTCATAGATCACACGAGCACATCTAACCGTAGAAATCTACCACAAAAGTCGAGCTTTCAAATTGAAAAACGGAGAGCATGGATAGATACATTACCTGCCGTAGAAAACCATCGAGAGCGCCCAACTTCCCCATAGCCATCGCCATCTGACCCATGTAGTTCGCAATGTTTCCTGACGAGCTGCTTTCGGGGCCTCCGGTAGAACCATTAGCTAATGTCTCGGCTAACGATTGCTGCAATGCATCCATACCTTGCAACAGCGCATCCTCGGCTTGAATCGACGATTGCTGCAAATTGTTTATTCCCGACGCCTGATGCTCGGTGAGAGGCTCCAGTTGGTTCACAATGAGCTGCATCATCGACGGAATTTTCTTTTTTTTTTTTATTGATTGTTTTTGAAAATTCGAAGGATTCGGAAAAACAAGAAGTTAAGAGGAATTAACCTTTAGAACTTCAGATGGTCGAAAACCGCCTATCCACATGAAACACCGTTCCGCGGGTGTCTTCCACATTCCCGACAATATGTGGAACACGTCCGCCTTGGCAGCGTCGCCTTTCAGCGTGAAAACGTCGTTGAAATGCACCATCACGTTTTCCACCATCACTCGAATCTCGGCATCGCTGGCGCGGGCGTTCACTGCAGTTCTGAGATTGTTTATTCTCCGGTTCTGCTCTTCTGTCCACCGTGCGTACTCCACGTCAAACGTTAATGCTCCTGTACGACAAAGTTGGATATTTAATCTCATAGATCGAATTTCAGAACAATATGAATGTGTCAATCATTCTAAATTGAATTCTACGTTATCGTATTCGAACACGTGTAAATTTAGGCAGCGGGTGATGAGAGAAGCATACCGTTAGCATTGGCAGAGCCTGCTTGGGATTGATCTCCTGCGTTTGAAATAAAGATACCCTGTTGACGTGCTCGTTGCAGCTCCTGCTCGAGTTGAGTTAGCTTCAGCCGGCTATTCTCGAGCTGCTGCACATAAGCCTTGAAAAAGAACAAACACGCAATAAGAATCATCTTCATCAATCTGTAGCTCGCGAGCCAAGCCTCACTCAGCTTGTTAATAGCTCTATTCAACTCGTTTATAGAGATAAACGATTGAGCTCGTTAGTGATGACATATTTATATTATTCTATAAATTAATATAATATATTACTTGTGGGATTTTATCCCTAATTTTACTATGTCAATTTTCTTTTTTCTTCGAAAATCTCAAATCAAACACCATTTTCTTTTTTTAAAAAAAATTTATTATTCTAATTTACAATTATTTCAATTCAAAATTTTACTATTAAAAACCAAAACAAAAAATCATCATTTGTGTGAATAATGCAAATCCTTCAGACAAACACACCTTAAACACATCCATAATTTTTTATATCAAAGTTTGTATTTATTAATGAAATTTGAATACTTTATTACAATGCATTGTGAATAAAATTTGATATATTTAATTTATATATTAAAAAAACATGATATGCATAAAATTCAAGCCAAACTCAAGCTCGAGTTCGAGTCTTGCGAGCCAGATTCGAACTACTATTTTAGCTCAAATCCTAAACAAGCCGAGTTGAGTCTGTACCAACTCTGGCACGCTTAACAACTTTAACCAAAAGTAAATTTGGTCTAAAATTTGAAAGAACCTACTTTTTTTCTTAGTCTGCTTTTGCGAGCAGCCTCCCGGTTTTGCGCAAGCCTCCGGAGCGTCTGCACAACGGATGAAAGGATCAAAAAGTAGCTCTAAATGTAGAGAATTGAGAAATAGTAGAGATTGCAACCTTCCAATCTTGTGGTTTTTCTTTCGATTTACCACTCGAATCCGAAACGGCTGCTGCTACGGATTGACCATTTTCGAACTGCACAGACAATTAGAGCACGAAAAATTCAGACACATACGTCGATGATCAGACAAAACATCAGGCGGGAGGGATCAAAGATAAATCACCTTCTGATTCTTGTCATCTGGATCGACATCAGCGGAAGTATCGGTGTGGGAACTGGAGTCCGCCATGTTCGATTCCCCCCAGTTTTCATGTTGAGCTGCGGATAGGGAGGAGAGATTTCGCAGCGGGAACTTTTGTAATGGCAGTGGTTGAGATGCCACAACGGCAGTAGAAAAGTTTCGGTCAGTCAAAGCAACGGACTACACAAGGAACAGATAAAAAGATGCTAACAATTGAATTTAGGAGATGAATGAAATGATACGATGATGAACATAAACGACACATTTATTACCTTATTGAACGTATCAAGCTGAAGATCTGAAGCAAGTGCTTCGTTGTTCAACGTAGGACTAAATACTGAACCTGTAGATACCAATTAGCCAAATGAATTCCAGATTTCAACGACCAAAGCAGCACCCAAAAAAAAAAAAGGTAGATTCCGACTAGTGTTTGCTTAGTGTTTTTTCATACATGATTTTCCAAAAATATTACCTAAAAATATTATATACCAGCTCTGTTTGGAATTAATCTATCCATTTTATTATTTTGCTCCGTCCGAAATCAATTAATCTGTTTCTTCTTTAAGTAATTGTGGTCTCGCAAATATTTAGAAAAGGCGCTTACATCTTACCTATTATTACAACAATGTCATCAACACAATTTAACTACGTTATAAAACATCATTAGAGTAAAATTGCATATTCACCCCTCTATTGTATAGTATATAAAAATAAAATACTAATATTCCAAAATATACGTACAAAAAAAATAAATTGATACATTATCCATGGATGAAGGGAGTATAATATCTAATAGACAATATATACACAAAACAATAAACGTCATAAAAAATACATAAAAGTTGACAAAAACATACAAAATGTTATTTTCTATAATATTTTCACAAAAATTTATCAACAAAATGCTCGGCATTCGTCAATGTATGGTAACAAAAATTTATATTCAATGCGCGCATCGATTGAGAGCAAATTAAGACACACTTATCATACAATTTTCATCTAAACCTTGTGGTATTAAAATTACGCTAGAATAAAAAATGATTGTACAATGTTGAAAGTAGGAAATGAAAATAACTATAAGTTACGGGTGCTTACTTCTACCGGTGCTAGCAGGCTCTCCAACCCGAAATCCAAGATATTGCTCGAGAACACCAAAGTCAGAAACTCGAGAAGACGGTGTTGTATTCGCTGCTGTGCCCCTGCAATTTAGAAACTTTGCATTAAATAAGCTGATAATAAATGGTACAAAAATGGAGGGGATGGAAAATTACAGATTAAAGAACACACGATGCCGGAATATTATGAGTGTAAAGATACTTCTACGATTAACCATACCTTACAACAAGAACATCTAAAACTATAAATACTAAACAAACACACTCTAATATTTCAATATTCTCAAATTTCAGTCTAATGATCGAAGCAAATGCTAAATATGATTGTCCAAATGTCTATTTCAGATTCCATCAATGTAGAAGGATCGAACTTTCTTGAATAACTAACAACGAAATAGGCTACAACAGAATTCAAACAAAAACGGAACTACAAAAAAAAGTTTGCAAGATCGATAAATCTTAGTAGATGCTTGTATTTTTATTACTTCGAAAATTTTAATTACAGATTTTCAAATGAAAAACAGGGCAAAAAACAAAGTGGAATTTCAAATTCAATATTCGAATACTATGGTTAAAAATGTATTTTAGAACATTCAAACCGAATTGAATAATTTGAAAACTATATTGAATCTAACTACAAATTTCATTTAAGATTCAGAACATCTCCAATATCAAATCAGTAGTCGAATACTTTCACAAATACCCTGTTGAATACTACAATGTTCACTTCTATTTCAACAATCACAAAATTCAATAAACAAACACGGTGAGGACTACATAATTGACAGAAAATAATCCAGAAAGAAAAAACGATCAACAGAAAAAACATTTGAAGATTTTGAACAATCAAAGAACTGGAAAAAAAAAAAAAAAAAAAAAAAACAGAGTAAGAGAAGTGAAATTACATGGAATTCGAAACTGATGTCTGATGAGAACTGAAGCTTGGCATCACACCAACACTTCCTGTAAATTCCCAATCAATATTTTCTCCTCGAACTTCCAATTAATCGCCACAAATGTAAGAAACCCCCAAATTACCTTCGATTAGAACTCAACCAACTTAATGATCCCCCCCAGAAAGCCCTAATCCTTCACCAACACAGAATCAAATAACCTACCAATAAAATAACTGTAACAAAAGGCCATTTCATAGCTGAATCGAATCTTTCCAATACTCAAATGGAAAATAAATAAATAAATAATGATATTATGGTATAGTAGAGTACAGAAAATACAGTCAATTCGACGACGAAGGAAGCACAGAATTGAATGGATTTTGAGATGGTTACCTCGATAATGATATTGGCACTTTGATGTTCATAGCATCGTCGTTTTCAGCACAACCATTCGATTTCTTTGGAGTTTGTATGTTGTTTGTTTCCACTCTTTTCAAAGCCTCCCTCCATTTTGTTTTCTGCCATTTTTCTTCTTACTTACTACTACTATCCTTTTACGTATTTTTGTTATTTGCTTGCATACCCCTGTATTTCTTTATAATTTCACTTTGCCTCACCATAAGAATTTTCACTTCCAAATTAATTATTATTATTTAATTACTCTATTTAAATATTGAATTCAGTTTGACGGGTGATTATAAAAAAATATATTTATATTTTACTATAATTTAGTGGGAGGATTTTAAGGATTTTCTATATTTTTTTAAAATAACAAATTAATTATTTATTTCTTTTCAATTATAATTATCATTTTTATACTTAATACTAAATACAAAATTAATTTTTCTATTATAATAAAAATAATCACATTAATATATTAATATTTTTAATTTTTATTTAAATTACTCTGTCAGTCCTATTATAATTAGAATGTACACTTTTAGAATTTTATAATACATTAAAAAAATAATAATATTTTATTTGAGAGTGAAAGTGTTGCAAAAGTTTTTAATATTTTTATTAAAGTAGTTATATATGTTAATTATATGGTTATAATTTAAATAAAAATTAAAGTATTTTAGTATTAATGTGATTATTTTTATTAAAATATAAAATTGATATTTTGAAATGAAACAACCGAAAATATGATAAAAGAATATTTTGAGACGAATAGAGTATAATATATCATTATACATGTAATTAATTTATACATAAAATATAAATAACAAAAATATTAAAATTATATTACGCACTTACGTTAACTAATAAAATACTACTAAATTAATGTACTATCAAAACTCAATTAGGTACTTTAGATCTGAATTAAGGTGTAGTTTTTCTTTATATATAACATTAAAATTACATTTATATTTAAAATATCTCATTAATATGTATCTATACGATATTAAATAAGTATTTAAATTTAAAATTAAATCTCCAACCAAACAACTATTAAACTTACAAACTAAACATATTTTTTTTCTTTTTTATTTAGATTTTTTTATCTCTTGGTGATTTAAATATTAATATTTTTTTATTTTTTAATAAAAAAATCTTCACCCTATTTTATTTGTTTATTATTTTTATTTGTGTTCGTGTTATTTTATTATTTTTTTAAAAAATAATAATTACATTTTAAATTTTATAATTAATAATTTTTAATTTAAATTAATTAATTAATTATTTTAATTTTAATTTTTAATTATTTATTAATTATAATTTATCTAAATTGTACATAAAACTGAACATTTATAGGATAGACAGGAGAAAGTAATTTTCTTTATATATAAAAGTTAATGATATTAGAGCATTCGTTACACTCATTCATTCCACTTCATTATCTCTTTTATCTCTCACATCCACGTCATATCCATCTCAACATATTACCTATACTATTTTATATGACCCATAATAATTTATTTATTTATATATATTTTTATTGTTTAATAATATTTTTATATAATATAATATTATATTTTTTAAATATTAATCTATATAAATTTTAATATATTAAAACATATAATTTACTATTTTAAAATTTTGAAATTATTCGAAATAAATAAACATATATATTATAGATAATTTCTATTAAATTTAAATTTTAAAATTTCAAAAAAATTGAATAATATTTATTACTCCCTCCGTCGGAACAAATGTGGCGTTTGTTTTTTTAACGTAGATTTTTTAATATTAGTATTATAATGGATTGTAGTAAAATGATGAAAATACCCCTATTAGTATTGTGTAATATAAAAGTAATGACATTTGTGTAATATAATGTAAGTTTGAAGGGTATTTATTAGGTTGAGTAGGTAGTACAATTACTAAATTAGGAAATGATAACCTTATTTATGGAGCGAACAGAAATAAAAAATGACAATCTTTCAATGAGACCGAAGAATTATTATTTTTTATTTTTGTGGAAGGTAACCGGTTCTTCATAAAGGTAATAAATACTGATAACTGTATTTCTTTATTAAAGGTAAGGTGAAAGATAACTAATTTTTATAGTAAAAATTATAAAGATCATCACAAATGTAACAAAAGAGGTGATTGTAATAAATGCTCTTATAAATTTTAAATAATACTAAAATCAAATTTCAAAGGAATATTATCCTTTGATTTCTAAAGTCCGTATAGCATCAAGATATTTCGTGAAACATGAGGGGCAAATTTATAAATTTGAGAAGATTAAATGAGTGGACAAAATAAATACAAAATGGTCCTTAGAGATTCTTGTAGTAAAAGGAATCCAATAATTGAGGTTGTCATTTCATTTTCTTCCGCCGTCTTTGGGGAACGTTGACACGTCAGGCCTTGTGTATGGGCCGGGCCCATTCAAAGCCCATTGGCCCGAGGTATAGGTGCAATCAAACTAATATTTTATAAAATATTTTATAAAAAAAATAAATATATATTTTAAAAAGACATAAAATTCAAATAGTAAAAATTTGATAATTTTGGTGAAGAAACACAGTGTACATTTGTTACTTTATAAGGTTTGTTTACTTCGATTTTGTTGCCATAATATTTTTGAAAATTTGGTATTATTTAAATTTATAAAATATTTCGTTCAAATATTATTTTTTTGTTATTTTAAAAATTTTCAAAACTTTCTTTTAAACAGAGCCTTCTTGTAATTCTTTTTTGTTTTGATTTCAATTTTAAATAATAATTTAAATGATATATTTAATATTCCCTTCGTCCCGGAATGAATGAATTCTTTTATTAGGGACACGGTTTTTTTAGGTAGTATAAATTAGTAAGTTATTAATAATAAGTTATGATATTAGTTTATTATTTTCTATATGAATAATATTATTGGTATTTTAAAAATTTTTAAGATTATATTTCGAAAAAATATATGCAATATGAATATCATTTTATAGATAATAAAATTTTATATAATAGTACAAATAAATAAATAAATATTTTTATCATTACCATAACTAATTTTATAAAAAATAAGGAGTTTAAAATATAGATAAAAAATTATGTTAATTGAGGAGAGATAGAAATAAATGAGTTTTGAGTGGATCATACGTGTAAGATGTTAGAAGTTTAATTAAATTGATTTATATTTGTTAAGTATATTTAAAATTGATAAAATTACTAAAAATAAAAAATAGTCTCTTTTATGAGCGTACACAAAAGAAAAATGAATCATATATGTGGCAGGACCGAGAAGTATAAAAAGTATATATATATATATATAAGAATAACAAAGTAAACAGAGCCGAGTGATTTTGTTCATAATTTAAATGTTGAATTTTTTATTTATTGATATTATTTTAAAATATTAATAATAATTATATTTATTGTGAATCAATACATGTATTTAGATAAAAAAAAAAAAATTAATAATTTAAATGTAATTTATATAATAAAAAAATATAATAAAAAGAATTATATAAACAATTGAATTTGTTGTTGTTCGAGATAGTTCGTTATGACATACCAAATTTAATACCACATCGCATACGTACGGTACAAAATTTTTGGTATGATATTTTACCGTACCGTACAAATATTTTGGTATACCGAATTTGCAAATAAAAAATATTGAATTACGAAAATAATATGCATACTCGTAAAAAGAATACCGAAAAAATTTCAAAATTTCGATACAATATGAATTTTTTTGTACGATAACGTATACAATAAGATATTTACAGTATATATAGATAATTAAAAAAAAAATTGGTATTTTTGTATATACTGATTATTTGATACAATATCGATACCTTTTTTTTAATAAATTAAAAAATTTGGTATGGTATACAATATATTTCGATATTTTTGGTATACTATCTCAAACCATCTCTAACTGAATTGTATACATGGTATTAGAATATAATATTTTACATTAAATACCGAAATTAAAAATAAGTTTATAATTTTGCTTTATAAATAAGTTTTATTTTTTTATTTTTTTGAACAAAGAAAAAGAAAAGTCAATATCAAATCTCATTTTTAATTAATTTTTTAGCCATAAATTTCCAAATCAAACATCAAATTTTTATTATATATTACATTAAAATTTAATTTTAAAATTAAATGAATATTTATTTATATAATATTAAATATTTATTATTTTTATTATTCAAAATTTTAGTCTAACTTCTAAATTTACAATTAACAAATAATAAAACTAAAGATATTAATAAGTTAATAAAATATAGTTAAGTTTTTTCAGTTAGAAGTATTAGTTAATAAAATATAGTTAAGTTGTTTTAATTAAAAGTATTAGTTACTAATTATTTATAATAGGAAAGTAGTCTAATTTCGTGACACAGCTAAAAAATGAAAAATTGACTAATTTCGTGGGACGGAGGGAGTATTATAGTTGAAGGACTTTTTTTTTTTTTTTTTTTTTTTTTTTTTAAGGATTTAGAATAGTTAGATTTTTAAGGCAGAGTTTAAAAATAATACTCCTTCCGTCCCGGATAATTTGACCGCGTTACTGTAGACACGGGAATTTAGGAGGGGTATAATTAGTAAATAATTAAAAATGTATTAGTGAAAATAATTATCGTATAATAAAAATAATTATAGATTAAGATTAAAATAATTGATTAGTATAATTAAAATTAAAAAATAAAAATTAAATTTTTAAAAATAAGATTAAAATGTATAATTATTTTTCAAAAAAGAAAAGTGACAAAATAAGTGGGACGGATGGAAATGGAAAGGTGGACATGAGAAGTGGGACGAAGGGAGCAGTATTTTAAATTTAGTGGGTATATAAAAATAGTATAAAATAATTTTGTATTTGCCTTTTGGTCTAAAAACAATAATGTAATGTTAATACGGGGTAATATAAAGAAAAATGAGATATTTTTGAAATAATTACTTTGTAATTGAATAATTCAAAATAAAAATATGTATATTTTGTGAATTAACGAAATGAACAATATATTTGTAATTTATATAAATTAAAATTATTTATATATTAGTATATAAATTACTTTTACTATAATAATATATAAATTAGCGTGAGAATGAATAGGTTATG